TTTATGGATGTTCACACCATCTGTATAAATAGCTAACCTTTCTCACACTGGTTGAATCCGTGGTTTCCAAGGATCTTTGTGGCAAGGAGTCTTGCTAAGTGATGTACTGAGTAAATCAGCATTTCCCTTTACCTGTTTTAATGCTCGGCTACACTTTTACACCAGAAGTAAGACAATAGAAGTTTGTTATTAGCACTCTATGGCACTGGCCACAAGCAAATTAACACCCACGTTTATGGTGCTCTCCCTGATTCAGCTCAACTGAATCATCCCATCTTTTCAGTCTTTCACACTGGGTGCAGCCTAGGACCAATTTAATCCCTCCGTTCTTGTGTCCCTTTTATCCATTTTATACTACTTTTCCAGAACCTGTGTGACTAGAAGAGAAAACAGCAATTCAGATAAGGGCACATTGGGAGAAGGATACATTTTGCCAAGATCCATACTTATCATTTAACAGCTGAGATACCTCAGGCCAGCAGAGATTTCCAGAGCAGTAAAAGAAGCACAGCTGGGACAAGACAAGTGATTATTCAATTTAAAATCTGAAGGCAGGTGGCTCCTCACGCCTGCCCTGGTTACCAGGTTCTCATTCCAGGATAATTTCTTGCTGCAGGGAAAAAGTTCTGAAATTGCAGGCAGAACTAGCAAGCATAAAACTGATATTAGAAACAAAATAGCTCACCTCTGCACTGAAGCAGTGATAGGAAGTCTCCTCTGTCGATAACTTTGTCTCCCTTCTTGTTATCATAACCAAGAACCTGAAATGCTCGTTGTATGGTTTTCATTGACAAGCCAAGTGCAGGTCGATGATTTATAAAAAGTTTGATAAAATCATCTAAATTGATTTTTGTCACTTCTTCTCCAGTATCTGCATACTTGCTGAATTTTACTTCATTTATCATGTCTTCAATCTAAAGATCAAGACAAGACAGATGTTACATGGTTTATTTTTAAGAACATTGGGCCAGTTTCCAATCCCATGAATGCCAACGTCCCTGAACCGTGCATGTGTTGGTGCCATGACCACATCCCAGGAGGAAGCTGCACTCAGCAGCTGAGGATGGGAATGGCCAACAGTCACACACCTGCTGACATGACAATAACAAGTAAAGATGGGGGTTACACACACACACAGTCAGTTTGGATTTCCTCTCTTGTGACAGGCACTCGGTGACCCTGCAGCTGTTAGTGGCACCTTGGGCACAGCTGTGTCTCCACTCTGGAACAGTGGGCAGGCAAACCACAAACCAGTAAACACACCATCTTCCATCCTTGTTCTGGAAGCACACACACGAGGGTCCCAACAGAACCAGGCTGCACATCCTGACTGGATAAGAAATCTTATTTTCCCCTGCTCTTCCCCGTGTCTAGAGTGGTTCAGGCACTGCACAAGCCAAATCCAAAATGTGCTCAGTGGGGCTGACACCCTGCACTGCTGGATCCCTCACGCTTGTCTCAGACAAACAGGCAAGCACTGGCTGTGCTGGATACCAGTGGTTTTCCTGAAGTCTGGTGCTCTGAGTCAGCCCAGTTGGCAGCTGTGCAGATGTATGTCCAAAAGGCAACATCTGCTCCATGCCTTCATTGTCCTTGCAGCCCCTCAGAGATACACGGGCAGCAGCGAGACGCCAGGAGAATTCCCTGTGCCAACACGTACCAGGCCTGCTGCTCCCCGGGAAGGGAAGCTGATGCAAGATCTCCCTGGGGAGGACTTTGCATTCAGCCTTGGGCCTTTGTCCTTGTGTCACAAGTTTTTCCACTGAATGAAGCCCAGGGAAGAGGGAAATCTCAGCCTTATATTTTTTCCTGTAGGAAACGTCATGCCAAGCAAGAACAGTCATTTTTACTCGGCTCTGGCTGATCTGGGATTAGGTTTTATATCAACCCCACTGAACTACAAAAGAAAAACACCAATTCCCAAAAGCTTTGCTAGTCAGCCCAAGCTGCCTTTTCTCCCTCCTGCTTTTCTTTTATTAAAACACTCTAGAGAGAGAGAGATGAACCTTCTCTCTGGATTTATTACTGATTGTAGGTTGCCTGGTTTCACAACAGCTCAGCACCTTTGTTTCCATGCCTGAAATGCTGTTTGTATTTTAATTTGGGGAAGTGTGGGGCATTATCAGGTATTATTCCAGAGACGTTTCCCAGTGGAATATGTTCTCTGTTTCCTCAAGAGGCAAAAATGCAATAACCCAAGGAAAAGATCTAACACGGTATGAAGAGATTACACTTCAACTTAACACCAGGGCAAAGCAGCTCCAGCTCAGATAAACACTTGCTGGCTGTGGGGGCTCCCAAGTGAGTCAGTTTGGGGTGACTGTGGCAACGGTGCTGCCTCCCATCTGGTGGCTCTCCTGGCAGAGCATCCCTGGGCAGATGGGGTGGCACAGACTCACAGCAGTGCCTCAGCAGCCTGTGGGTTGCTGTGCCACGGAAGAGATGAACACAATCTCCCCCCCAGAAAGGCTGAGGGAGTGCAGTGATGCACCTCTTCCCCTGGGAGAGCCTCTCCTGCGGTGACGGGCTGGAGCTGGTGCTCAGAGGCCGTTATTCAAATCTCCTTGCTTCAGATTCAGTCATGCCAGCTTACACGTTACAAATGAGGTTTGTGTACAGTACAAACTGCCTTGGAGAAACAGCCACACGAAGGGGAAGAAGCAGCACCCTTATTAAATCAGTTCTCTCTGCTGTAAAATTTTGACCCTGAGGTTGCCTTGTTGAACAACTCTGAGCTGTCAGGCTCCAGGTTTGCTCAGCCTTCTTCTGCAGTTGGCCAACTTGCTACCAAGGAAACTTTTTAAGGAATTTTCTGCCAGATTCTGGCTACTACTATATTGACGCAAACCAGATAAAAATATGTTGACAGCCAATAAATATATCCCAGAGCCATCTAGCATGGCAATGGTCAGAATCTGGCCCTTAGAACACTTGGGAAGTGCAATCAGTCTTGCCCTTTCTTCTTTTAATAATAACAATAAAAACAGCTGACCAACCTCTTCCTCTGATGGATAAAATCCTATTGCTCTCATTACAGAAGGAATTTCCTCCAAGGCAATATGTGTTGACACCTGTCTGGTCTCCAGTGTTTTGATACCTTGGCTGCACAGCTGTACGTAGTAAAAATAGTCCTCCAGTTCCTGCCAGGGATTCAAACAGTGCAAATTTCAGTTACCAGCAGGCACAGAAGATAAGGCTCCTTTTAGAGTTTACTAACAGCCATATCAATGAGATTGCTGTTAAAGGCCAACTGGACAAAACATAAAGAAATGTCAGGCCTGTATAAATTAAAGACCAACCAGACGTGGTCAGACAGCATACACAGTGAGATAATTACCCTGAAGAATTTGCCTTCTCTGCCGCCATCCAGGAGGTTGTAGAATGGGATCAAGTCCTCCCCACCCAGGAAAGCAGCAGCATTCAAGGTACTGGCAGAAGTGAAGGAAAGAAGGTACAGGAAGGGTTCATGTGAGGAGAACTTTCATGGTATCTTTTCTAGGCGTTGTTCACAGACACATTCAATAAATAAAATCTCTGGGCCTCAGAATTCAGGAAAGAAAAGCACTGCCTTGAACCTTGTGCTATTTTATCATCAGCTGCACTTCTGCAGCATATTTCATACCCAGGTTTTACATACAATAGCACAGTGTGGGAATTAATTATTACTGAATGGTCCTCTTGTTCAGTGGAATGAGTACAGGGCTGGGAGCCAGGAGCTTTTCCATGGACTTGAACTTGGTGTCTGGCATTTGGCTTTTCTGCTTCCTTATAGAGACATTGAGGGAGATGAATTAGCTAGATCAGCATTTTGAACATGCAGAGAAGGCCGGGACTCGGTGTTTGCAATAAACCACACAACTCCCTGTTCCTTGATCCAACACATTTTTCCCCAATAACTCAGTGCAATCCATTACCCGACTTCCTCCGCCGTGGCGGGTGACGGAGTTGCAGGTGCAGTTTGCATTAAACTGAAAGTGCCTGAGTAGCCACCTCTTTGTTTCAATTTCATAGGCAGTTGGAGCCAAAAGAATCCCTTTGGCTTGTGCAGATGTAAAAAGAAACCAAGCCTGGAAGTGCAATCATGGCATAGCACTGCCACATAATACCCCATGCCTGGCAGCCAGGCTGCAGCTTTCACACACACCCCTGTAGTGCTGCTTCCACTGGGGTTTTTTGCAAGCTTCATGCTTTTTTCATAATTAAGTTATTTGGGTATTAAACACAGTGGAGATTCACAAGATGCCAGAAGCAGTAATAAAATGATAATTAGCTCATCAAAAACTTCACTCCAAAAACAAATTACATAGAAATTCAATGTTGCCTGGACTCTGGCCAACCATTATAAAGAGGGATCATTTATATTCTATTGCCTTCCTTAAAATGTCGCTTATCCTGACCCCCGACTGTTTAAGCCACACAAAGTGGAAAAGAAAATAAATAAACCCATTGCTTTCCAACCCAAGTTTCCTTTGTTCTGGCACATGAAGGTGAGCTGGCTTGGCACTCTTTGGGCTTTCCTCAGAGTAAATGGTACCTGCAAAATGTGTTCCTTGCAGGACCAGCATGTCTCTTAACCACATGGTCCTAGGAAGGTGAGGGGCAGTTGTGTTTCCCAGGTGTGCACTGAATGGCAAACATAAGAGCAAGGGCTAAAAGCCAGCTCCCATGGAGTTATTTCCCAGAAACCAGGAGACACAATGCTCTGTGCTAGGAGGGTATTGTGCAGGATTTAAAAAAAAAAACCAACCCAAAACTGCACAGACTGAGGGAGACCATGCCACACTATCCTAACTCTGCCATGGACTAAGTTCCCTTCCCAGTCCCTGAAGCATGAAGTGGATCCATGGTGGCCTGGCAGTTTTCACGCCGTTCACAGCTGCCTTGCTCCATTTCTATGTACATTTCTGCAGCCATGAGGGGAGAGTCTGTGCCCCAAACATTGAGCAATAAGCAGCCTTGGTCCTTGACATGCCAAGAAACCAAAATATCTATCCTGCCTTTGCTGTTTTACCCTCCTGTCATGTGGGAATACATCTAGCACCACTGCCCAAGGGATCTGGCAGAGGGAAGCCTGCAGAGGACAGCGTAAGAAACCTGGCAGGATTCATCACTGGTGGTCTGGGCCAGAGCCTGGAGATACTTCTTTGTTAGAGCAGCCTCCACTCTTCAACCACCCCATTTATTGCAGGCCATTTATTCATGTAAGCAAAGCTTTATAGGATTACAGTGGCTTGTTCTAAATCCAGTCTTCAAACACGGGGGATTTCCCAACAAATTCCTATTCCATTTGGAGAGCAGACACTTTTGTATCAGCAGCTGCCCTGTGTGCTCCTCCTGCAGCCAGTGCTGCTCCTCTGGTCCCTGCCTAACCCTGACATCACAGTGGCCAGGCCCTCACAAGTATCACAAAATCCTCTGCCCAGCTTCTTACCATTTGGGCACTATTTCCCAGACTGGAGTATTGTTCAAGCACTATGGCCACCCCTGTGAGGTTTGCTGGCTTAATCCCTCCTACATTACAGAGAGGGGAACAAGACCCCCTAAAATACGTCTCTCCTGTTTCAGCCACCACCCCACATAGCTGCTTGGGGCCCAATGGGTCAACCAAGCAGCTGTGGAAAGCAGGAACAAGATTCCTTTCCCTTTCCTGCCATAACTCACTGTAGGTTGACCTTCCATTTCATAAAAGTGCGCTCCTTCCCCCCAGCTGTAAAGATGTAACGCCCGTCGTGGGAGATGGCAAAGTCAGAGGCACCATCCGGGTGGCAAATGAAGGCTGAGGACTTGTGGGGGTTGCCATCGACAGGCAGCATCTGCAAGCCCACCTGTAAGGGAAGAGGGAGTCTGGGAGGGCTGGGGGTCCCACTGGGGTACTGCCACATCCTCTTCCCCGGGAGCTTGCTCAGCTTTCAGGCAGGACCAGCCTACACGTGGCTTCATCCTCAAGGAAATTCCCAAGGGTCCAGCAGCTCTGCAAGTGGGGGGCTCTTGTACAGCTGAGCAGGTGGGGCTCCATACCTTGTCCTTTGTAATGTACACCAGGTAGTGCTGCTGGGGGTCCGCAGAGCTTGTCCTAGGGAGGATTTGTATCTTCTCCAAGGGGGAGCCATAGGTTGGTCCCAAAAGGGTCTTTCTAAAGGCAAATAATGTATTTATCCACTCGAGACCACCCAAAACATTTTTGAACAGCTTTTGTGTGGAAGGATGGGTAGATAGGGCAGGTGTGCAGAGGCTTTGTGTTACTCATGAGAGAACAGGATAGGACAGGGTCCCCAGCTAGAAGGGACTACACTGGGGTTCAGAAAATATTTTAGTGCTCAGGGATTATTATGCTTTCCTCTTGTGGACTCCGATCTCTTTATTTCATGACTAACTGCTACATCTCAGGTCCAACATAGTCAGTAAACCAAGATCCACCTGCAGTTACAACCTTACTAAATGACACATTAGTGAACAGCAGAGTGGGCATAAGAATGGAGTGACCTGAGGGCTCTAGAACCATCCCAAGATCTGCATCACAGATGGAAAATCATATGCTTGTGAGTGAAAGTATGGTGGTCATTAGACCAAGGAGAACACAGGGTCAGGAGGAGACACCCAGGCAATGGCAGGCCTGAATCGATCCTCTACCTGCACATTTTGGTTGTCGTGTTGTAGAGCTTCATTTTGTAGCAGTTGTTGGCAGTGAGGAAAAAGGACTCAGTGCTGAGCTGCGGGTACCAGGTCAAGCACAGGGGCACTGCAACCTGCTCCAGCCTGTCCCTGTGTGTCACTACCAAGTGATCCTTAATGCTGCTCTTCAGGTCATATTCAACCTGGAGGGAAGAAAGGAAACACAGCAACTCCCCTGTGGTTTGCCCTGTACCCATGACCTTGTGGATTCACTGGATTTGATCAGCTACAATAGGAAAGCCTCAGCACCAAGACCAGGCTAAGAAACAAAACCCAGCAATGGAGCTGGTGGGGAAAGGGTTGGGAGCCATGGAACCAAACATGGAGCTTCCTTTGATGGCCTTGTCCAGCCCCACACCTTTAACCACAAAGCTTCACTATCCTTTAAACTTTTGCATCAACCCACCAGCTGCCGGTCCTCCCCGAGGCTCAGCAGCCTGGGCTCGTTGCTGTCTGAGTGGACCCCAAAGAGGATGCTCCGGATGGGTTTGTAGTGGGAGTCCAGCCCTGCCAGATGTTCCCAGCATCTGCTCCCATTTTGCAGGACTCTCTTGTAAACAGTCACTGAATAATTCTCATCCTGCAACAACAGCACAAAGCTCAATGAGGGGAATCTTTTTCTTTGTACAGATCATCACCAGTTGTTACAAACTCTGAGCCAAACTGCTTCAATGCTCCCTCAAAACTTGTACAGGGAGACATGGGATTGAGGGAGAAGCCCCCTCCCAGAGCACCAGCCAGGAGGAAATCCCTCCTCCAGCCCCTTCTTCAGATGGACGCAGGGCTAAGATTTGTCACTAAAGTTAGGGACTGGGCAGTGCTGACTGGTGACGTTTTTACAGAGTAACTCTTCAAAGCAGGAAAAGCATTTGGGAGTCAGGAAGCCCCAGGGGAGGAACAGCCCTCTGCCCTGCTCGCTCTGCATTTCAGAGTCACCAAGCCCCGGGGAGGGACGGCCCTTTGCCCCGCTCGCTCTGTGCCTCGCAGCACGGCCGGCAATTCCCAGTCCCTCCCAAAGCTGCCCCTGAGCAGCGCATGTAAATCACCGAGCGGAAAAAACAAGCTTACAGCGGTTGCGATGTACTTGGAATCGTGAGAGAAGCTGATGTGAGTCACGGGACCTTGCGAGAACTGGAATTCCTCGCAGATGGACTGAAGGGAAATTGCATCAAGGATGTAAACGCTTCCATCAGTAAAACCAGCAGCCAGAAAATGACCTGGAAAGCAGACCAGAAACCTCTCACGACATGATCACTCCTCCCAGGAAGGCCAGTGCTTGGCACATGGAGAGGTCACAGGGCTGGGATACCTTCAGGATCATAGGATAAGCACTGGATGCCAGCCTCAGTGAATATCCTGCTAATGAGGTACTGGGTCTGCTTGTAGTCCCACACCTTCAGCAGCCCACAGTGGCTCCCCACAGCCACAAGTGGCTCCCGAGGGTGGCAGGCAATGGCATTCACAGCTTTCTTTGCCTCTGTCATGATTCTTTCAAAGCTTGTGCCGTCTGTTGCAACATGGAACATGGTTGCATCAGAGGTTGAAAGGATAAAGTTCCTATTTAGTGTGAGAGAAACAGAAGTCGATGAATCAGACCAACTGGCTCATATCCCTGCAAGCTATATTACACATCGGTCTCTTTTTAGCAAGGTAGTTGGACAATCACTTATATTTTGTGATACACACTATGGTAACGTTCCTGACCTGGAAGGCAAGTGACACTTTGTATTCATGACCTGGGAAATGGCCATGGGAAGACACTGGATCCAGTTCTATTTTCTACTTGGCTGGGCTAGCCAGAAGATGAATGACATCTGGGGAGCTCCTGCCATTTGCAAGTCAGTGGTGTGTGAGATGGACAAATGAGCAATTGGAGATACTCTGAATGGCCTTTTCACGTGTCTCCACGCCACCACTGTCAGTGGCTCCGCGTTGACCATGCTGCCATGGCCAAGGCCAGAGGGCAGTTTCAGTCCCTGCCTGCTCACTTGGCCATGCTGAGCAGCACAGCAGAGAGGTTCCACTGTGTGACTGATGATGGGTGAAGCAGACAGCAGGATAATTATTCATATCACAGCACAAATATGTACAGTTTCAGTCTGCCTGATTGAGAGTCTGGGCCCAGTAAAAGGGACAAGAGATAATCACACAGAAATCCCAGAGTGGTTTGAGTAGGAAGGGACCTTAAAGATCATCTTGTTTCAACATCTTCCACCAGACAGGTTACTCCAAGCACCATCCAGCCTAGCCTTGAACAATTCTAGGCATGAAGCATCCACTGCTTTTCTGGGCGACCTGTGCCAGGACATCACCACCCTCACAGTGAAGAATTTCTTCCTATATCCCATCTAACCCTGCCCTCTATCAATTTTAAGCCATTTTCCCCTTGTCCTGTCACTCCCTACCCTTGTCCAAAGTCTCTCTCCAGCTGTTTTGGAGCCCTTGAGGCACTGGGAGGTGCTATAAGGTCTCCTTGGAGCCTTCTCCAGGCTGAGTCTGGGAGCTGCACAGACACACAAGTGGGGAAGCACAGCCTCTTTGCCAGCTGTTCCATCACAGCCACTAGTTTATGCACATCTGGCCCAGGCACTGATGGACTCTGCATGCCTGGACCCCTTGCGTGCCTTAGCTGGGCTCTCCAGCCATTCCTAACCCCACCAGCCTCTGGGGATGAGCTCAAGCCTTCCCTTTCCTTTTGGGAAACCAAACCATCCTCCAGGACACTGCTCCAGGCTGGAGAAGACTCTGTCCCACATGGCTCTTTGGAAAACACACGTGGCCAAGAACAGACGTTGCCAGGAAAGCTTAACAGAAGGGACAGACGTGGTTTGCAGTCTGGATGGAGGCACCCAACAGCTTCATGTGGCCTGCAGACTCCCTGTAAATCCCCAGGCACAGCTATGTCACACAGAGGGACACAGAGGGGCTGGTGACAGGTCAGTGTGGTCCAACCCTGTGCCGGTGCCACGGCCCTGATCAGTTTGCCAAACCATGATAAAATCCAACTGGATACAGCCATGCCTAGGGAGGGTTTAAGGGGGGATTAAGGGGCCCAGTGAGCTCTGGAGGCTTGGCATTAGCACTGCCTGGTGTGCCAGGTACCTGACAGAAAAACTGATCATCACCATGCCTGCCCTGACGCCGTGTCTGCACCAAGGCATCACCTGGAGCCCACACTCCCTCTCTCTCCAGCCCAGGAGCCTGGGCACAGGGCTGAATCCTGCTCCAGACCAGGCAGAAGCTCATGGAGCAGCTCTCACTGAGCACCTCCCCAGCTTTCAGCTGCAAGGCAAACACAGGAGAAGGCCTGGGTAGGTAGAGAGACACTCACCTGGTGAGAAAAGGCTGGCTGCTGCCTGGGAGGGCACTGGGACGATCACGAAGGATTGTGGAGAAGGAGATGGACTGGATGGGACCCACTTTGTCGTGGCTGTAGATGGTGAGGAGCCGCAGCTGCCCATCGTAGAATTTAACCTGCCCTTTCACATCACCTGTGACTACACAGCTGCAGGGAAGGGAAACATATTAACCACACTGACCACTCCCAAATATTTCTTGGAGAGCATCCTTGGGTGGAAGCAAATCTCTTCCTTATTTCTCTGCACAAGCACACGAGCAGAGCCCTGCACAGATGTGCAGGAGAAAGCCAGGGCTGTGCAGAAACCAGAGGCTCTGCTGTGACCCTGCCGTGTCCCTGCCGTGTCCCCAAGGCTGTCGCGGAGTTTGGTGGCTGTCTGCTCCCTCTGCCGGTAGCGGCCAGGAGGCTGAGCCACTGTCAGAGCAACCCCAGGAGAGCTGGCATCGCATCACCACCACTTTTCAACTTCATTTCCACCCCCAGACAAATCCATTGCTGAAAATTACTCATAAACCAGCATCACTTTCCCGCACGAGTGACCATGCTGCCAAGTGACTTAAAACTCCAACATTATCTCTGCCACTCCTACAGCTGAGGCACCTGAGGGCTGTACCTACAGCTACTGAAAAGGGCTGCCCTGTTACCTCTCCAACACTGTGAGCACGGTAAGACTCTCCTTCTGCAGTGACACCACCTTGGTGGCTGTTACTCCGTGGGGTTTGGCCAGCAGCTCCTCGGGGAGCGTGCGGGGACTGTCCATGTCCCACACCACCAGCTTCCCGGCCGAGGTGCCCGTCAGAGCTTGGGTGTTGTTAACATGGAAAACCGACTGGCTGAACTGTCCCACCAGGCACTTGAAGGTCTGTGGAGACAGCAGCCAGGCTGTGTTTTCATCCCAGAGCTGGCTCTGCCTTCCTCAAACAGAGAGATTGCCATTCCCTCATAGCATTCCCTTCCTGTCCCATGGCAGGACAAGAGACAAGAGCCCCAGGAGAAAATGCAGTGGGACACTTTAGAGAGAGAGCCCTACTTGAGCTCAGCTTGGGCAAACCTGGTTTGTCCCTGTCTGAGGGGACAGGCTGGGGCCATGGCCACTGTTTTTGCTTAAGGGGATGGGGAGGGACAGTGCTGCTGCCAGCAGGAAAGCCAAGAGGGTGACATGCTGTGGTCCCTCCCTGCTGTGCTCACCTGGTTGCTCAGGAATGGTGCCCCGTACTGCAAACCAGAATCATCCTGGGGAAAGCAGAGAAAACATCCAGGACAGGGATTTTGGAACTGAGCTCTGCAGTGCCAGCATGGTCCTCTCCACCATCTGGACACTGGTCCCACACTGTGGTGACCAAAGCAGGGCTTCTGGGGCAGAAAGGCTCCAGGCTCTTCCAGAGAGCACAAAACATCCTCTCCTTCCACCTGCTTCTTTCCAAAAGCTGCTGAATGGCACAAGGCCCATGGGAAAGCAGAAGTGGGAGAGGTGAAGAGCATCCCTGCCACAGCTGGGCCTGACCAGTGTGGGAGTGGAGGGAGTGTGATACTCTGTCCAGACCACTTTGGGATCTGGCAAGACAGGGAGCAGGGAAGGGACAGATCTGCAGAGTGACCCCAGTTGTGGACAGACACCTGGCCCCTGAGCCCCCCCCCCCCCCCCCCCCCCCCCCCCCCCCGCCATCTCCTTTCTGGCACCAAAAACGCAACTTCCCATGTCCCTACTTACCCACAGGTAAAATATCACCTGGGTTTTGCTGTTGCTGACAAACTCATGGGGATTCTGAGGGTTAAAAATGACATAATCCTGAAATTCAAAGACTTGCATTAGCACCAAGCTGAGCAATGCTTTCTGCTTATTCTTCCATCCAAAACCACCTCACCAGCTGCACTGAACTGAAATCAGAGGACACCCCATGCCTGTCAGGCATCAGAAGAACAGGGATGACCCCTTGGGATGCTTTGCTGCATCAGGGTGCCCCAGAGGTGGGGTGTGATCCTGCCTCAGAAGGGGGTACCAAGGGGAGCAGGTGAGGATGGGGCTGTCCAGCCCAGCCCAGCCCATCCCCTCTGCCCCCCTAGGCCATGATCACTCACCTGATACCCAAACTCAGGCTTCAGCTCTGTGCTGCACATGGGTTTCCCTGTGGGCAAAGTCCATCTCCAAACACAAACTTCCTGAAAGAGAAGGGGAGAAAAATCCAAGGAACACTCCCATGGCTCTCTGGGAGGTTTGGGGAGCCAGGTGAATCCCATTCCCCACTGCAGGGGATGGTGTGGCCTAGAAGACTGCAGCAGGCTAAAACCCAGGACAGCCCGGCAGCAGAAAGCTTAATTTCAGGAAATAATGCTAGAAATTGCTTAGATTAAAGTGATTAAGTCAGAAGCTTTTATCCCAAATTAAGATCCATTTTCTCAACTCTGCAGCATTCACTTTAATGAAATCCAGGTCTGTCTTCTAATGGCTCAGCAAAATCAAAGCATCACTCTGCAAACCCACACCCCTTCCCTCCTGCTCTCCCCTTCTGAATTCCCACCTCCCCTGCGCTGCACTGCAAAAAACTTCCAGGTCTCTATCCTGCAAAGCAATGCAAGAGGAGATATTCTCTTCACCTGCACAGCAGCAGCACTAATGGTCACCAAATACTTGGCGTCTTGGGAAATGGCAATGGCACAGACCCCGTCCTCGGAATGACTCTCGAAGATGGTGCGCACGGGTACCCTGCGGAGCAGAGATCCCATGGGTGCTCCTGGCAGCACAGGGGGTTCCAGGCAGTCACTTGGCAAAGTCTGAGGCACAACCCACCCACCCTGGTCTGTGTGGAAGAAGGGACGGAGGGAGGGAGGCGCAAACACTGGTGCTGCCACAGGCTGGTGCTCATCGTCCCCTCCATCCCTTCCTCCCAAGTGAATGGCACTGGGAAACAACTCACCAGGGATCTTTGAAGATCCTACAGCATGGAGATGTGATGTACTTAGTCTGGGGGAGCTCAGCCCCATCTCAGTGTCCCATGAGTGTGGGTGATACAAGGACTATGAAGGACTTGGATTGGTTTTTTGTCTGTCCCTGCGTTCTCCCGTTTTACTCTCAGCTGAGACTGGAGTCAGTCCTGAGTGATTTACTGGCCACAGGGAGTTTCCAAAAGAGGAGGTTCCTGGGAGCTTACCCAGAATAGGAGTCCCACACAATGATCAGAGCATCTGGCCCTTTGTCAGCAGTCGCAACCCAGCGTTTGTCTTCACTCACACACAGGCAGGAGATGACATTGGTGTGGCCCTGGGGGAGGGAAGCAGCAAAGTGCCTTCAAGGCTGCAAACCTGGGGCTGCTCTGTTCCTACCTTTTGTGTGGGCTGCTCCTGGGTTTGGTTATAGGTGACCCCTGAGCACAGAGCACCAGAAAGAGAGATGGAGGGAGGGAGTCCAGGAGAAGGGGAGGAAGAGGAGGAGGGAGATGCTCGGCTGTGCCAGACCTGCAGGTGGAACTGCCTGTTCCGCAGGATATCGTGGATGACCACTGTGTGGGAGGAGATGTACAGGAGCACCCGGTCCTCCCCGTCCATCAGGCTGTGCACAGCCAGGCTGCTGTTGTAGCCAAACACCCAGGACAGGTCCTGCAGGGAACAGACAGCTCCTGGCTCTCAGCAGCCAGGACATAAAGGCACGCAAGGTCTGTGGGGTGATGGAAGAAAGCAGGCCAGGAGTGCTGGGTGCCATGTGGACCACCCTGGTGGCACTGTGCCCGTTGGTACTCACAAGGGGGTGAAGGCTGCTGTCCTTGTTCTTCAGGAACAGCATCCCCGGTGTGGCTGCCCACACCATGCTGGCAGAGCCTTTATGCTGTGTGTCCTTCTCCCTGTAGTCTGAGAGAGGGCTGGAGATGGCTCCCTTGGACTCAAGACAGTCCTGGGGGTGGTTCTGGGGGTCCAGCACCCTCCAGACATGATGTCCCAGCAGTGCCTTCCCCCAGGGTGCCCTGGCTCCCAGCCCAGGTGCTGGGCAGGGTATCTGAGATCCCCATACCTAAAGGAGATGCCCGGGGACACGATGGTGACGCATCATCCTCTGGTGCTTCTTTCTTCTCCCTGGCAGCAGCAAGGGTGTCCTTGAAAAGGAAGAGAGGTTTTGGTGAATGCTGGTTCCTGGGCTGGTCTGGATGGGAACTGCCCTGTGGCTACTGGGAAGGAACCCCAGCAGGTCCCAGATCCCAAGGGCTCTGTTTCCACTGGGATCTGCCCCAGACCCTTTCTCAAACTTTCCATGGTGCTGTCCTCACCTCCTCAGGCTGCACATCCGTCTCCTGAGTCGTCTGTCCGTCCTGGGACATCTCCCTGGGCTCACTGCTTAGTGCTGCTCTTCCCTCAATGGGTCACTCCAGTGTAACTTCACATGGACCATCCATCCACACCTTCTCCCTCCTCCCAGGGAGCTGGGCTGTGGAGACTCTCTGAAATACTTCCCCACACACACTCTCCCAGATTTGGCCACACAACAACCTGGAATTGGGCAGAGCAGGAGAAAAGGACACCTGTGAAGCTGGGAAATGGGTCCCAGAGCCCCTTCTCAGCTCTCATACTGAAGAAGCCCAGCACAGCGATCATCGCAGCTGAGCGCAGCCTCCCTCCCTCGGCTGGGAGGGTGCCCCGTGCACCGCGCCGGCCACGGAAATTTCCCTTTCGCCTGGGGTTTTGTCACAGTCCCCGGCAGCAGCTGCTTCATCTCCGCCTTCACGGGGCTGGATTTGAGCCAACACCGAAACCTTGTGCACAGAAAACTTTCACAGGAAGGGAAAGAAGCCCTGGGAAAAGCCCTCCCCGGGCCTCGGCAGGCGGGACGGGAGCTCGGCAGCGGCCGCGTCTCACCGCGCTCACACGGAACCGTTCCCAAAACCCCTCCAGGCTTCGATGCCTCCTGCTGTCCCGAGGGAACCCCCCGGAGACCCTCCCCAAGGCCCCTCCGCTCACCGACACAGCGATCCCCCGTCTCTCTGCCTCTGCGACCGCCGTTCCCAGGCAACGGCTGCGCCGGCAGCACCGGCTGCGCCACCGGCTGCACCGGGAAACGCCGGGA